TTACAAGAACCATGAATAAAATGAAAAAATAAAGAAAATCCAAATAAAAGAATAAAGGCACGGTGTGGATAGTAACCAGAATCAGTTCATATAATGGATTGGGCTCGCTGGGGGGGGGGTGTGGATATCACTTATTTCATTAAGCCCAAAACCAACTGATTAATGAAACGCTGCGTTTCATAATCAAAACTCTTTCACAAGTTGAAATTAAAACGTGGCCATTGGATCATGCTTCTAGTCAAAGGTCCAACCAAGATTTGATGGTCCTAACATCATCTTCTACCTTTTGAATGCCTGAACTTCGCGCCCAGCTCCGGCCACCATCGGTGGTGCTCCGGTCACCATCCCCAACCCTAATTCTCTCTAGGATCCTCCATTGCAAATGGTCAACACATGAAACTTGTCCCAAATCTTGTCACAAATTCATCCATACCCTTAACTCTCTCTGAAACCTCAAGATTCACCATATCCAATTCTCAACCGAAAATGGTAACACACCTATTTTGTCACTAATTCTCAAATTGATGGTCTGAAATCAATCCTACACCGTTCTACAATGCATCTAACACCTTAATTCATCTTGATTCTACCTAAATCATGCTAGAGGAAGAAAGTTGCTAACCTGAAAATCTTGGATGAGCAGATGCATTAAACCTCTAATTCAAGCTCTCAAGTCTTTCAGACACGATCAATGAACCTTTTCCTTTCTTCTGTATGCAAAAGAACCGGTTGAAAGCTCCTGAATCTTGAAATCTGATGCTGAGTTACAGGTGGAAAAATTCAATTGCTCCTACACGATTCAGCCACGAATTCTCTTGGATTATGATCTGGATTCACTCCTTAACATCCATGGAAGAAGTTTCAATCAAGAAAATGGATGGAAAGTGAAGAATTTTGTGAAACCGAATTCAATTGCAAGCCAAGAAATCTCAATCTCAATCTATGCTCTCTCCTTCAATCATCACCAACCCTTGCATTGGATCACCTTTGCTCAATATATAGATGATGTATGAATGATCTAGAACTCTCTAGATCCTTCTAATGAGAGTTTCCACTTCTCATGTCATGAGATTTTCAACCATGTATCATGATATGCATAGCTCTGTTTGCAGCTTGGAATCAATCCCATTCTCTTCCAATTTCTCCCCTAGTGACATTTTGAAAGTGATTAGCTTGCAAAAGGCCTTGCTCATGCCTTGATTCTATGTTTTGCACATGTTACTTAATATGCAAGTAATCACTTTTCAAAGCAAGTCCACCAATTGAATATCAACTCAAAAATGTGGCTAAACCAATGTTCTTAAAATGTTTTCTAGAGTCAAAATGATATATTACATGCCATGGTTTGGATGTGCAGGTTGAAAATATCAATTTCCAACTTTGGTTTATTTAACTTATGCCCTTATTTTAGGTCATTTTTGCAACTTTGAGCTATAAGCATTTCCAACATCTCATGACCTCTTTAATAGCCTTAAAACATCATTTTGAACAAGTTTGATGTTGAACATTTTTCCATTTGGAGCTTGGAAATAGGAGTTATGGCCTTATACTTGAAATGACCTGTAATCTCCAAATGACCAAAATGCCCTTGACTTGTCAAAGCCATAACTTGAGTTTTATAAATCCTATCAAGGACTTCTAGTACTCTCTAGAAAGCTAAGAGGATAATGAACAACATTCATGTTGACCAAAAGTTCATAGGAATCATCCTTCTTGGGAAAAAGGTTGATGCAAGTTGGGTAACTTTCAAGGCCCCAGATTCACATGCCTCAGATGACCTGTAACTTGTCAAAGTCATAACTTGAGTTCTACAAATCCTATCAAGGACTTCTAGTACTAAAATTAAAGCTAAGAACAAGCTCTACAACATTCATGTTGGGGGCAAGATGAGATGACTATCACATCTTGGGCTAAACTGCCTTGAAGATAGGGGTCAAACTAGGGGATTTTACACTGTCAAGCCTTAGAAACCCTAGCTTGAAACTTCTCAAACTCTTCAATCATGAGGAGTTGACCTTGGAATAATCCTTATAACATCTCAATACATCAAATTTGCCATTTTTTATTTTCTAAGAAAAGTTTAATATGACAATATTAAAACTTAAAACATTCAACCATTAACAAAAAAATAATTCCTTATTTTTTTTTCAAACATACAAACTTCTAAGTTATATCACTTTGTTATAGCTTTTCTTTTAATCATGTCCCATCATCATCACACCTTCTCTTTTAAACATAGTCACACTGTTCAACTTAATATATTAGTTGTCTTTCAACTTAATATTGTTCATTGTTGTCCAATTATGACCTATTTATCGTCATTTAACTTGTATTTGCTTACTATTATTCAATTAATTATAATTTATTATGAAGGTGAGAAAATACACAAGAAGGGGGGTTGAATCATGTTCTCCAATTTTCATTGCTTTTGATCAGAGTTCAAATTCTAAACAATAGTCCAAAGTCTGATAATATGAATGCAGCGCAATAATAAACAGAAGCAAGTAAATGAAAAATGAACACACAAAATTTATCTTGGTTCCTGTCAAACCGAGAGTGTAGTCCAGTCCCTTTGCAGCACAAGAGATTTTCCATTATAATTAAAACTTATTACAATTGCTTATGCCCTCGAGCATAATTCTTTCCTTTGCTCAGACCTACCTGATTGAGACTTCCTGCTTAGATCCTTAGATTCTAAAACTTCCCTGCTCAAACTCACAGCCTAAGACTTTCTTTCTTATATTTCACAAATCTAAGATTTCCTTGCTTAAACCCCTCGGATTCAATACTTCTTGCTCAGACCTACAGTCCAAGACTTCCTTGCTTAAATCCCACAGATTTAAGACTTCCTGCTTATACCCTCAAGTACAAGAATTCCTGATTAGACTCACAGTCCAAGTCTTCCTTGCTTAAATCCCACGGGTTAAAGACTTCTTGCTTATACCCTAAAGTACAAGACTTCCTGCTTAGACTCCTAGTCTAAGACTTTCTTTCTTAAATCCCACGGATTCCAGACTTCCTGCTTATACCCTCAAATACAAGACTTCCTGCTTAGACTCACATTCCAAGACTTCCTTGCTTAATAAATAATTTGATCAAGGCTTTAATGCTCAAGCACATATCAAGAGAATTATGGCTCAAGCATACAACAATAGACTTTGATGCTCAAGCACATAGCAAGAGACTTTCTTTCTAAACTACTAAACAACATGTTTAGTAGAATAGATAACAAGGAGTGTTTGGTATAGAATCAGAGGTACAGGACAATATCTTTAACAAACACTATAACACTTAAGATTTATAAGATATACATTGTTTAAGAAATCTTAAGGCTTTGTACAATTTACAACAGATGACAGAAACTCTACATACTCGATGTTGTTGCTATTATTGATCTTGTTATTCTTCCATTTGATATAAGCATGAAACGCTTCTTTTTCTGCTTGGCCACTTTTCTTTATTCCTTGTTGATTCTTCAGTTTGAATCTTCAGCTACTTAAATAGCAGATACAAAAGAGTAGTTATTGGAAGAGATAACTTGCACGAGCGTCTTTGTCACTCCATAGTACTAAGAGATGTTGAAGATAAATACACAATAAAATCTTTATCTAATGTGTAACACGTTTAACCATAGCATCTTCCTTGTGAGTTTTAGTATAGATCTTTTGAGAGTGGATATCCGTAAAGCATGTCAACTCTTCCTTGAGCCATGTGAACACAAACTCTAGCTGACAACCTGATTTGACAATATAGTTTGCTTTATGCAGTACATATCACTTAGCTTTATCTATGGTGATCATCAGAAGATGATACTTTCAATAAGTTTAGAGATAACACATTGCTCAGAAGTACACGTAATCATATATCATCACACTTCACTTAAGAACGTCCTTCAGTTTTGAACCATCAGAAGCCAAGAACTCAGTTTCTCTCAAATGCATTCTCTTAACAGATTCTGAATAGATTCTCTTTAAGCTTTGGAACCTGCATACTTAGAACACACATTAGATAACCCAATTTTTCTTTCAATACTTTATTATCATCAAAACATAAAGGATATATGTGATGAACAAATCTTGTTCTAATATATTATTTATAGTTGATAATTATATCCTCTTGTTCTAAGATATTATTTATATTTAATAATTCTATCATATTTAATTTAGGTATTCTTAATTATTTAAAATTTATTTTAGGTATTATGTTCTATTATTTTAATTTTGATTGGAATATTGATTTAACTTATTTTATTGAAATTATTTAATTTGTTCAAAATTTTCTTAAATGAAAGTTAAAATTAAGTGTACGACTATGTTGTATTATCATGTGTATTATTGATATTGTTGTATTACTATGTGTACTATTGATATTGTTGTATTAAGTTTGTAATAGATTTTTGAAATATTTATTTTATTAAGTTGTGAACATATGATTATGTATGGAATATCTATGAAATTTAGTTTCATATTATTACTTTATTTAATAGACGGTTCGACCGTAAATTTAACTAGTTTAACCAATTAAACCTTAAATCGAAAGTTTCACCGATTTGATCTCTGATTCAGATTTTAAAATATTGACAAATAATTCCTCTTACTTTAGGGTAATAATTTTTTCCATTTTACTTTCTAAAAATTAAATATTCAATACTACTTTCATTGAATATACTTTGGTAAAATACTTTTTTTATTATAAATGTTTATGATTTTATTAAACATGATAAAGATTATACACAAATGGAAGAAAATCAGAAATACATAATAAAACTATTTAATGTAAAGTTTTATTTTTAAAATCTATAATGTATATATATTAATACAATTAAATCTTATTTTTAATAAAGTTCATGTATTAAATATCATAATAAAAGAAATGATTCTGGCTCTAAATCCATCTAGTTGCATCTCAAATTTCTCTTTATAAATAACATGACAAGAGTAATAAGAAATGCATTACAAACATCTTAGAAATCCATCTAGTTGCTTTGATCATCATTGATCATGACTAGAAAGAAGGTAAAACTTCACTACATAATCAATAAATCCAACAGGAGGGCATCCTACAACAAAAGGAAAACTGGTTCGAGATTATTAGCTTCTTATCTTCAATAAATCTTATATTAGAATTCCCTAATTATATATCATTTATACTCTCTAACTTTATTTATTTTTTAATAGGTTTATTGAAGAAGGTTAAGGAAATCAGCACCCTTTGTGGGGTAGAAGCATGTGTCATAATCTATGGTGAAAATAGTGCTAAACCAGAGGTTTGGCCGCCTGGTCTAGGAACACGAAATGTGTTACGCATGTTTCACGGTTTTTCTGAACTTGAACGAAACAAAAAGATGATGGATTTGGAGGGATTCTTGAAGAAAAGCATAGAGAAGTCCCAGGAGCAGTTGGCAAAGCAAATTTTGGAGAACAAGAAGAATAGATTTTCCATTTTCATTGATGAAGCTCTTAGTAATCAAAAATTTAATACTGATCTCGTGAAGATCAATGAATTCAATGATCTGACGGCATTTATTGATAGCAATATCAAGGAAGTCGAAAAAAGGTTGAATTCAATGAATCTTGAAGAAGAAGAGTATTATGGTAATGGAATTGAAGCTATTCCTGAAGTGGACCAGCATGATAATATTGGAAATGCACAAGAGCTGGTGAATAAGGAAGAGATGCAAGCTAATATCAATGGTTTGGATAATAACAAGGATTATGATATCTAAAGTGATTATCAATATTTTCCTTGGGATTTCTCCATGTTACCATATCAAGATTATAATATAGACACAGAGGGTCTTTGGTCAAACTAGTCCATATCTGCCATTTTTATCTATTAGAATGTCTTTTATGTTGGTTCTTGTTTGTGTGTTTGTCTGTTTTCTTTTTGAGTCAATAAGTGTCTGTGTCTTATGTTTTCTTTCATAATGTCCATGATTGATTCATGATCATCAATGGAAATAATAATGACTTTACTTGGTTGATTTTTGATAATTTAAATTTTGAGTTTATTTTGTTGGAATATTTTAATAATATAGTATTATATTATTAGCATTTTAATAATTATGTGGCCAAATATATTTATTTAATTATATTAGCTATTTTATTAAATAAAGTGTCTTAAATAATTATGTGATCAAATAATGTTAAAAAATTGGGTATAGACTCAAATATGAGTGGACGTCAGGATGACCCATTTGGAAATAATGAGAACCCTAATTGGTCATCACGCTATATATAGGCTATGGTCTCCAATATACCATACACAAACAAATTACTCTTCTCCCTATCTGAAAAGAATTCGAGGCATAAGGATCCAGGTTTTCTATAATCAGTTTATCGATCCTTTAATCTTAGACATGCTTGATTTCCGCGCCTAAAGTATATATTATAACTTCTAAAGCATGTATGTTTTGATTAATTATTATTAATCTAATTCCAACAAATGATATCAGAGCCTAGACTATGATTAAATTATTAATTCAAATATAATTATAGTGTAGTTGTCATAATGATACTAGTTGTGAGTAAGCATCTGATGTTAGCATTTTTCTGTATAATCTCTTATACTTTGCACTAATTGATATGTTTCAATTACTATAATGTTGAATTAGTAATTTTAGTGTTTTTGTTGGATCCAATTTTAAGGTCTTATTATTTCAATTGGTTGGTTATTTAGAATTTTTTTAATGGATCCAGTGTGGAATCATTGTTACGGTGTTCTTTTTTTGAATTGCGTAATTGATTCTTGTGCATAGGTTAATTATATTTTCATGGCATATAATGATATGAAAACAAACATTTCACATATAACGTGAAATGGTTGAACGATTCTTATTGACATTAAAGTGTAATTTTTTTTGTTTGTTTTTTATATTATATTTACATATGCTTAAACACAATTTAATTGTGTTTGTTTTATTAAGTTATTTTTTTTTCTTTGAGTACAACTCGTTTATTATGCCGGTATGTACGTGATATAAACACAATCATTAAGCAATCAAGTAAACATACAATTTTAACATTACATTTGTAGGTAATATTTATGTGAATTTTAAAGATCTTCCCATTTAATTTATTAAATTTAAAATGTCTAGTGACTTTGATTGGATTAGTTGAAACAACAAGTTGTAAAAGTAAAAGTTATTATTTGAATTTGATTCAATTAGAATTACAAAAGATGTAGTGTGTGATTTTTCATGCGAATTGTTATGGTCAACCAAAAGGAAGACACTGTTTGGCCAAATTTGTAGTAATTATCAAGTTTATCCATGTGGCTAATGATTGGTGTCAAAGACATCCATTATATAACATGACTTATTACTAATATTTGATCATTACGCGAGAGTACCACTTACAGTTAATTCTTACAATCAGAGAATGGAAATTTATGGTGTTTTTTTGGCATCTTGTATATGTCTTATTTAATTTGCATATAAAGAGTATTATGTATGTCTATATGTTTATTTGGCATGCCTACTAATATCTTTATATGTTTGTTGCTCTTTTCTATGGATCCAGCTGTTGTTGATACCGCTCCAGATTTTATTACTCAGATTAACTATATCCCTATGCTAAGTGAGATGAACTTTAAGTCTTGGAAAAAATATGTGGAAATCGTTCTTAGATGCATGGATTTGGACTTATCTTTGAGGGAGGATTTTCAAACCGTTACTGATGAGAACCCAAATGAAACTAAAATAGAAAAATGGGACCAATCTAACCGGATGTGCCTCATGATGATCAAAAGATCCATACATAAAATGATTAGGGGCTCGATTGTTGAGAGTAAAAGTGCCAAAAAGTTCCTTGAAACTGTGGAGTAATTCTTTGCTAAAAATGATAAGGTTGGGACAGGTAGTACCTTATCAAACTCATTTTAATGGTTTATAAAGGCAAAGGGAACATAAGAGAATACATCATATAGATGTCTAATCTCACATCAAAACTCAAGGCATTGAAGTTAGAACTTATTGAGGATTTGGTTATGCACTTGGTTTTGATCTCTCTCTCTCTCTCTCTCTCTCTCTCTCTCTCTCCATCAAACTTTGGGAAATTCAAAGTGAGTCACAATAATCAGAAGGACAAATGGTCTCTCATTGAGCTCATATCTCACTGTCTGCAGGAGGAAGAGAGGCTAAAGAGAGAGAAGACTAAAAGTTCTCACTTAGCTACTAGTTCTCAAAATAAAATGAAGAAACCTGCAGGAATTTTTCTCAAAATAAGAAGTCAAAGGAACAACCTGAGGAGACCACTTGCTTCTTTTGCAAAAAGGATGGACACATGAAGAAAAACTGTTCCAAGTATGTCGCATGACGTGAAAAGAAGGGTAATTTTATCATTTTTGTTTGTTCTAAAATTAATTTAGTTTTTGTACCTAAGGATACCTGGTGGATAGATTCTGGTGCTAATGCTCACATTAGTATGTCCATGTAAGGTTTCCTGTGGAGCCATCTATTAAGTGATATTGAAAGATTCATCTATGTGGGCGATGTAACATCCTAATTTTCCCTGCATACTTTATAAATAAAAAATTTGAGTAAATTAAAATAGCCAACAATTAGGATGTTACTTTCAACTGAAACTAGCTCATGAAATTAGATATGTAACACATATGGAATTTAAAAAATAATCGGAATCATAAACAAGTCTGAACTTCAACATCTCATTAGCAGCGAAATTAATCAACAACTGATTAATTTAACTATTCAAAACATAACTATAACATAATATTGTTATAAGAAATTATTAATCATAAGAGATTCTCACATAAAGTCTCCATCAAACATAAAATAAAGACACGAGTGTTCCATTTCCCCAGTGTTACATATTAGAGCAGACACCAACTCAACGAAAGCAATAAGGAAGGTAATCCCTTCCACTCACATCCACGTCTCTACTGTGGATTATTTGCACAATACCTGTGTAAATGCAACATTCAATCAGAAGGGGTGAGAATTCACAATTATATAATGACATTGCATAATAATTTGTAAGAACACCATCATCACATACATAATCACCCATTCCACAACTCATAATCTACACAATCCAAATATCACAATACGACAAGTATGCAATGCTATGAGACTCAACTCAATGACTTAATGAATGTGGTACCAAATGTGAACTCTCAAGTTCACTCGCTCACAATCCCCACTATAGGATCAGAGCATACCAAAAATTATTACCATCACCATAGGTAATGCTTAACCGGTTCCCACCTGAAACCAGCTACTCGCACCCAATCCCCACCATGGGATTGATGCACCAAAGTGGGCCACCGTCCAAACACGATTATGCATGATTCATAAATGACAGACATCAACCACAACATGTAAAATGATATTCATCTTAATCACTACACTACACCAAAATTGGTCACCAAACATATACTACAAGTATTCAACAGTAGCATTATAGTAGAATATCAAGTAATAACAAACCGTTCATACACAATACCACACTACAACATACACATCGCATACCATCTAACACAAGTATGCACTATTAAAAATCATTTCCAAGTACTGAAACTATTTTTAAATTAAAGTACATTGTGTCAGTTTTCCAACGCTTTGGACATTATCTCAAACGGACACCCGAAACTCAAGTTATGAATTTTTAAAGTTTGACATAGCATGTGTAATCGGTTACACCAAAACAGGTAACCGGTTACAACTTGGTTAAAAATAGTGGCCAAAACTTCCCAGTGTAACTGGTTACACTGAAACCAGTAACTTGTTACACCATTTAAAAATACCGAGATTACGCTCTTTTTGGATAGTGTAATCGGTTACACCAAAACCTGTAACTAGTTACACCCTTTTAAGAATCAATTTTTTGAAAAGACTTTTCATGGGCATGTTGCTTATATGGGTCTTTGTTTTGAGATTTCCTTAGATTAGTGGGAGTTTTTTTCTTAATTTTTTATGTTCAATGATTTGGTTTTATTTTGGTACAAACTTTATGTTATGTTTAATTTTTTGCATAAATAAAAACTTATGATGTACTATTGTTATAACAGTATCAAGTTTTTGTTATGTGCAAATATTGTAATTTTGAATTGCACCAAAGGAACTTCAGTTTAATCTCACTAAAGACTCTAGTAGGATCAGTTGGAAATATGCATGACTTAGATATTAGATTGCATGAAATTTTCATGTCACTCATCCATATCGATCTATGTCATCAAGTACGTTGATGTGGTGGTCTTCAGGGTTCCACCATGTTATACGTTAGTGACGAAAGCCGCGATGGTCTCATTATTGATGTATGAGGTAGACCAGATTGTAAAGTTGAAATCTAAAGATAAATAACATTCAAATGCGCGTATAAAGAATTATGATATAATTATTAAGATATATCGGCCAAATGGGAGATTGTATTCTAATAACTATATGGTCAAATATATTTATTTAATTATATTAGTTATTTTATCAAATAAAGTGTTTTAAATAATTATGTGATCAAATAATGTTAAAAGGCTATTTATATTTTATTTAGGAATTATTTAATTAATTGGGTATAAACTCAAATATGAGTGAATGTCAAGATGACTCATTTGGAAATAATGGAAACTCTAATTTGTCATCACATTATATATAGGCTATAATCCCCAAATATACCATACACAAGCAAATTATCTCTTCTCTCCATCTGAAGGGAATTCGAGGCATAAGGAGCATCGGTTGAGGAAGAACCACAAAAGCCATCAACTTTTGAG